TACGTTTAATTATTCATTTTAACTGAAAAACTAAAAATTTTGCAAATGTCTTTTTGTCCGCACTTATTATCGATTGCTTTAAAGTTTTAAAGCAATAAAAAACTTAAAGATTAAGTTTTAAGAATTTTGGAGCAATTCCTCACTTAGTACTTCTTTCAAATGAAAGGAGACCAGTGAGGTAAATTTTTTTTTTGTTTTGTTTTAATGCATTGAAATTTCTAAATCTTTATAATCAAATGTCAATAACCAGTTTCTACACAATTTTGAAAATTTATTTAATGTGCTAGCTTCCTTAATTTCCTGCGGTAAATTATTGTAATATTTCGGAGCTAGAAAATCACAAGATTTTTGAAAGTAGGTTACTCTGCTTAAAGAAACACGAACTAAGTTTTGACTATTTATCCTTAGTCTATAAGAACTACAAAAGCGCGAAGGTAAGCGATTTTTACTTTTATAAAATTTAATTAAGCATTTATACGCAAAAAGATGTCTTAAGGGTAATATTGCTTGCGCTTAAAATAAAGGCCAGCAATGAAAAGGTCTTGATTTTCCATGAATTTTCAGCATACTTTTTTGCGCCAAAAAAACTGGCTCCAGCGTATTATTATAGGTACCTCCCCAGCTTGTTATGCCATATTGAAGTTTCGAGCATAATAATATTGAAGACTAGAGCATAATAAATTTTTAAAAGCAGTTCAATTGAACTATAAATCTTTAAACAGTAGAATACACGAATACAATATAACATATAGTTGTGCATTTTGCTTATATGTGTTTTCCAATTTAATTTGTTATCAATAGTATCTCCCAAATATTTATAGCTTTCTACGGTTTCAATTTCAAAACAATTGTTAAAACAATTACCTGAAAATTGGGTTCTAGATTGTTTACATATAAAACTAGAACATTCATTCGCATGAAATGTGAAATTAAAATGCTGAGGTACAATGGCTCTGAGATCATTTAATTTAAAGAACATTAATTTTGTTTTATTGCTAATATTAAGTTTATGGGACTATTAAGAAAATGGTTTATTTTCTAAGAAGAATTAAGTCTGATTCTATACTACGCTGAAGTGTGGAAATATCTATTTCGTTAAAAGAAAGAGAACAATCATCAGCAAAACCAGTTATTTTCCCTTGGAAGGGTCGACTAAACAGAGAATTTATATAAATAAGAAATAATAAAGGTCCTAACACCGAGCCCTGAGGAACACCTGAAGAGATATTTTCAAAATTACTGTAAACGTTATCAATTTTTACTTTTTGTAATCTATTGGACAGATAAGAATCAAGAAAATCCAACATAAAACTTCTAAATCCAATATTTTCAAGTTTTTTAACAAGGATTCGGTGATCTATTGTGTCGAAAGCTTTTTTTATATCAATGAAAAGAGCAGCCGTATGTAACTTGTCATTTTGACCCGAGTATAGTTCCGAACATAATTTTAGTATGGCATCTTCAGTACATTTATTTTCTAAGAAACCAAACTGGTTTTTATCAAAAAAAATCAATACTATAGAGGAAACTAAGCATTCTTTTTTTTATTAATTTTTCAAATAATTTTCCTATGCACGGTAACAATGATATAGGCCTATAGTTCGCAACATCCAGTTTAGAACCCTTTTTGAAAAGAGGTATTACTTCCGCAATTTCGAGCGCAGATGGAAAAGTTCCACTTGTACATGGGTTTTTGTTATTTAATACTAATATAGCTTGATATATGTACTTTTTCAGCTACTATATCTGAATAGCCAAATGTATTAAAATGCATATTTGTACCTAGCATATCAAGTACATTCATTGTGCAATAACAATTTTTTTGTCCTATATTATTTAAACTTGAAATTTTAGCTGAATTTACAAAAAAAATATTAAACTCATTTGCGATATTATTTTTGTTTGTAACTTTTTTCTCTTCAATTACAATTTCGTTGACTTGTGTATTCGCTGAGCTTTTGTTCAATATGTTATTTACAGTTTGCCATTCCAATTTAGAGTTACCGCTGTGCTTTGAAAGTTCAGAACTATAGTATAGATTACGCGCCTCTTTTATATTAACACTCAGTTCCTTGCAAAGATCTTTAAAAGAATTTCTTAATTCAACATTATCGGGCTGGTTTCTGCTTTTTAAACCTACTTTATTTTTATATTTTATTTTAGTTAAAAGTAAGTCTGTCATCCAAGGCTTAAGTTTCTTTTTATTTTTAGCTAAATTAAGCTCCTTATAACTGTAGGATATATGTGAATTTAATATTTCAATGAAACCAATATAAGCCACTGAAGCATCAGATTCACTAAAAATTTTATACCAATTTTCCGAATCTAAAAGTCTGTTTAAACGATAGTAGTTTATAATTCTAATTGGCTGGTTGTCTTCCTTATATTCTGAATTAGGAACTTGAGATAAGCTATTCAAAATAATCATATTATGATCAGTTATACCTAATTCCAAGTTTTCACTCTCGAATTCCAAATAATTTAAATTATTAAAAGTTCTTAAAAAAATATGATCTATACATGCAGAACTAAAATTTGTAGTGCGAGTTGGTAACTCTACTAAGGAAGTTAACCCGTTTTAGATTTCTTGTTTTTTTCTTTATCGTTAAAATGATTCAGAAAAACAGAGTAATGGAGACCTGTGTTATTAAACTTGTAAACCGAAAAAATTGTGAATTTAATTCCCTCGAGATTACATGTTAGTTTGACTATATCAGCGGTACTTATAAAAATTGAGCTACAATTAGAAGATAAATCTATTTTGGTGTATACAACAACACCACCTGAACTATAATTGTTATTGCAATTGCAGTGTAAATTATAGCCCTCTATATTATAATTTTTTTCTTCTTCGCTGTAAATCCAAATTTCAGATAGAATAATAATTAAAGGAGAATTTTCTAGAGATTGAAGGTGTAATAAAAAGGTATCAAAATTTTCTCTTAAGCTACGGATGTTTTGATGTAAAATTATATGATTTTTAATTTTTTTGTATGGAAAGGAAACTGAAAGAGATGAATTCATTTTCTATAAATTTTAGTACTATGTATTTACAAAATATAAAATTGATTTTTGTTGATCTCAGCGATTTGTTATCCAAATCGCTGAGATTTCTCACAACGATTGGTTTGTCTCCTTCAGTTTTCCTTATTAAAATTTTAGAATTCTTTATCCAAACAAATTTAATTTTATTATTTCTTTTTAATTCAATGGCAGCTTTATACAAATACCTTTTACTACTGGTTAAACTTTGATTAATAAATATTTTCTTACCTTGATAAGAAATGCTATTTTTTAACTCATTTTTTTTCTTCCAAACCTATTGTTGCACGTCATGCGTTTTAAAATCCACTCTCATGATTCTCGTAGGCGCTGAATTTGAATTGTTCTCACCTCGTCTTTTTATTTTCCAGGAGCTACATTTTTTAATGTCATCACAATTTATAGTAACATTAAGGCTTGAACTCAATACTCTGGCTGCTGTTTCGATGGAGTTTGGATTTTCGAGTTCCAGCAGGTTGACTATATCGATGGATGAAGGCAACATTGATTGTTCAAAATATTCAACTTTGTTTTCTAGGACGTTGATTTTTTTCTTTAAACTATTGTTTTCTTGTTCAAGTTGTAATATTTTTTCTACATACGTCTCGTGAATACGTTCCATATTCTTTAAAGCTTCAATGATAATATCTAATTTATTATCTTCGGCCAAACTAGACGAACCACTCTGTTGTATGCTGTGAGATGCCTTTACAAAACCTGGCAGGAGATTACGCAATTTTGAGTTTGATGAGCTTTTTGGTGTACTATTGCACTTATCACATATTTGTTAATTCTGTGACGCACTGCTTACACATGTTAAATGGTATAAAATTTTGCATTTTTTACATTCGAATGTCTTATATAATCTATCAATAATTTCTTTGTTGCATTTTCCACACGAAATTTTTAATATATGGGTTTTAGAACGTTTAGTGAAAAATAAATTTTTGTTTCTTCTTTTTTAACTTTTTTTTTTTTTTATTTTTTTTTTTATTTTTTCAAAGTTTGGTTTTTTATTGATTGTGTTTAATATTGTACTTGTATTTAGAAATTCATCTTTTATTATTGAATAATAAGCAAACACTATGGTCGAATTATTTATAAGGAAAACTGATTTTATTTACTTATATTAACTATTACTTTATTCACTCTGAAGGAACTAACAAGATTGACTTTACAGTATTATAAAGAAACATCACATAGTAAAGGTTTGTCATTGAAATTTGTTAATCGAGCATTTTTACGTCGTATGATTTTTACACGCGAAAAATTATAAAAAGGTAAAAATGCTGATTTGAAAATTTTGTTTAAAAGTTTCGCAAGAATTTAAAGAACAAAAAAAATTTAAGTTATATATTTTAAGTTAAGGTGGAAGCGACGGGTTGGATTACAATTTTGTTAGGTTGGATAACCGAATATATGACCTGCATGCATACAAAATTATTTTGTTAAACCAAAAAAAAAGCAATTCTTATGGAAAAAGAGGTATAAAATCTGACCACTATTTTAAGTTTTATTATGTATTATTGAAATTATTATAAGGGATGGGAATTTTAAAATGCGTTATTGCTACCCAGAATAGAGCAATTTATGTAAAATCAAAATTCATATGCATGTATGAAAAAATTTCTTTTGATCTTGAACTTAAATTTTTCTTATAAAAAGAAATTTAGTCTTTCGAAAAAAAATATTAAGTACCACAACCTAGCCCATAACAATACCGTTCTTCAATTGTTCTAAGTAAACCCATAACTTCATTTTCATTTTTGGTTAATGCGTTTTCAAAACCACTCTTATATTCTTTTAGTGAATAGTGAATATTTTTTATATATTCACTATTTCTTTCTACAGTACAATTCATTTTTTGCAGTACCATGTCCACGTTTTGAATGTACATAATACATATTATAGTACATTCATCACACATATATCGCCAATTTTTGTTAGTATCAAGAATATTACTTTGAAACTTGTCCAACCCGGCATATTTCATCGATATGTGGTATATTTTGTTGCACACACCGAATGCCGTTATCACCACTAATTCTTTTTACACGTTTTGCAGTCAGCCATCCTATAGTTGACTGTATCTACGACGGAAAACAAACTTACGCAATCTGAAGTAAAAAATTTTTAAATATTTTCCCGTATTTAAAAAATTCAACCGCTTCGCTTGAGAACTGAGGTTGAACTGAGAATTAGAAAACGTGTATTTATATATGTTAACAGAGCATTTTGAAAATTTTATTGCATAATTTCCTTTTATTACAAGTTTTTGATTTGAATAGTTATTAGTTAAATTACCTAAATCAGGGATGGCAAATAGGGTTTGATCAAAGTGCCAAAATTTGGGGAAATTTATTGTCACACTTTTTCCCGTGCCAGCACAGTACCAAGTACAGGTATGGTTAGGTAAATACAAAATTATGACAAGTTGTAATAATATTTATTTATACATATTATAGTTCAAGGTATAAAAATTAATAAATACAGATAGAAAAAATATTAATTTGATTTTTTATCAGAAACTTTTTGTTTCATATTACTTGCAAGAGTTTTTATGTCGGGCTGGTACATTGTTGACTGCAGAGTAATACATGCTGCCGAATCTTCCTCTGTTAATCTGTTTCTAGTCTTTGAATGTACATGATTCAAAACGGAAAAAAGACTTTCGCAAGAGTAAGTGGAAGAGAAAATCGTTAACAACGAGATTGCTAATTTTTTGACAGAATAAAAGGTATCTGGCATACTATTCCAAGCTTCTAAAATTTTACTTTCCATGAAACATTCTGATTCCACATTTTGGGATCGATGGCTTTCTAAATCTTCAACAAGCTTCCGCATATTCACAAATTTATTTACCCAAATTGGATTGGATTGCAGATCAATAATTTGCATTTCTAAATTATCTAATCGCATCCAAATAAGGAGGTTATTGTCACAATCTTGCATATCAAATAAATCTGGGTAATTAATAATTTTTAAAATATTTTCGATCCTTTTAAAATCGAGAAATCTTTGTGCAAACTGTTGCTTAATAGAAACGAGAATATTTGTAAATTCATAGGTGAAATTCCAATTAGTTTTTTCAAAAATGTGTATTTCATCAAAAAAAACTTTTAGTTTTCGGAAATATTCAAATTTTCCAGATTCGATATCTCTAATGAAAATATCTAGTTTAACTTCAAACCCCTTTATAAGTCCAAACATAACTGCAATCGTCTTCCCACGCCCTTGCAATTTTTTATTTAGAGAGTTTAAATGTAATGTTAAATCAGTGAAAAACATTAATTTTGTTAGCCATTCTATGTCATCAAGTTCTTTAAAATCGACCCTATTGTTTTCACGCAAAAACAGACGTATTTCATCCAAGCAGCTCACAAATCTTTCTAACGATATGGCCCGGCTCAGCCAACGCACGTTATTGCACATTAAAAGAGTGTCATATCCACAATCGACATCATTTAAAAGTTTTTTAAATTGTCTTTTGTGCATATCACGTGCAACAATAAAGTTTATAATTTTATTAACTTTTTCTGAAACTTCTTTTAAATCGCTAGTACCTACTTTTGCACAAAGCATTTGCTGGTGAATGATGCAATGAAATCTTATAATCGGATGTCCAACATGTTCTTGAAATAAATTAACAAACCCTGTTGCCGGACCAGTCATATTAGGTGCTCCATCCGTTGTAATAGAACCATTTTTTTTTAAATTGAGATTAAGGCTTTTTAATTCATTAACAACAACTTCACAAATATCTGCACCTCTTGTTCTTTCCGGTATATTTGCTAATTTCAACAGCTCCTCGCGTATTTCATTCCCTTTTGAATAACGTGCAAAAATTGCTAATCGGGCAGACGAGTTTATGTCAGTTGTTTCATCCAAACAAATTGAGAAGAAATCGCAACTATTAATATCGGTTTGAAGTTGTTCGGAAATATTAATGCTCATTTTTAAAATTCTTTGTTTAATAGTATTTCTACTCATCTGTAATTCTTGTATTTTTTGGAGAATTTTTTCCTTATTATTGAAATCTTGGAACAAACTGGAAGCAGCTTTTAACACAAGTGTTTTTATAAACGTTCCGTCAGAAAATGGTTTCGAGTGTTTAGCAATCAAATAAGAAATTTCAAAACTCGCTTCTGTTATATTATTAGGAGTTTTCACAAATCTTGAAAACAAATTTGATTGTTTTTCAACATCTTTTAATCGTTGTGATATTAATTCTCTTCTTTCGGCAATATTTTTTTCAGAAATTTCCCTGTGATTAGTTTCAAAATGTCGTTTAATAGAAGATGTTCAACATACAATAACTTCGGAACACAGACCACAACGACTCTTATCTCCATGTTTAATAAAGCCGTAATCAATTGTCCAAGATGGTAAAAAACTGCGAACATCCTGTAGTTTTTGTTTTTTTATTGGTGACATGTTAATGGGGTAAATAATTAAATCTAAAATTACACGATAAAAATTATATATATTTAAATAATGTTTATTTGTTAAATTAGTTCATTACCGAAATCAAGTTTACAGCTGTAAAAATATTTAGCATTAGAAATTGGTCGATGTTTTTCATTCACTTTCTATTAGAAGTATTTTCAATTAAAAATAACGGTAAAAAACTAAACACGACACGTGTTGTGTAAACTCAGAAAAACAATTATGACATTCACTCTTGAAATATGGATAATTTTTCATACCCTAAAAACCACAACTTTTTTGTTTTAAAAAGAAAACTTCAAAGTTTACTATGTTTTTTCTTTTTTGAAATTTTTGAATACTCAATGCATTTTCAAAGCGGTTTGAATTTTTTTTCGTTTTCAATTTTTTTTCAATACTTTACTTAGTGAAGTGAAAAAAAAACAAAAATAAAAAGAATATAACATTTGAATATGTTTGGTTTTGAATATTTGTCATTTCGCTATTAGGAAATTATCATTTTTAGGAAATTTTTCATTCAATCAATTTTTCAACGAGTTTTTAGATTTTTTATTAGAAAAAAAATCTATATAAAAATTTGTCGAGGCACAACTATAACGTGCCATCAAATTTTTTTTCCGTGCCAAGTTTGGCACGCGTGCCCTTTAATTGCCATCCATGAATTCTAAATCTAGATTTCTTGTAACAAATATTCCTTGTTTTATTTCTTCAACAGTTTTTACTTTATTCAATTCAAAATGACATGTTAAATTATTTGATAAAATATTTCTAACACATTTCAATATTTCAAATCTTTTTAGTCACAATTTTAGTATTATAATCAAAAACTTTATAATTATTCATAAGAATTTTAAAATTTCCAGTGTTAATTTGTTCATATTTTGAATTTGTGAAGGGCCGTACAATGGCTTTGAAATATTTCTCTTTGCAAAAGGTTGGTATTGAAATCACTACAATTACATTATCATCGTTTTACTTTTTTATAAATGGCAATGTATTTGCAGTGACATTTAGTGTTTCGATTTCCTCAATAGTCAAAATGTCATGTGCCAAAATATTCTGCCTACTGAATATAATTATATCCTTTATTTGAACTATAAAGTTGTTTAAATTTTAAATATTACATAATTATGGAAAAAAGTTTCCTGTTGGGTTAATTTGTCTAAAATTTCTATTTCCCTGTTGATAGAGTTGTTAAGGAATTTATCAATTTTTGATTTTTGTTTATTTATACGATTAGTGATATTCTGAAGAGCAGACGACAGTTGTTTGTTAATGATTTGTTTGTTTGATTTTTCCACGAGTTGCTTCAAGTTCGTATATTTCTTGAGCATCTTCGGAATCCATGTTTCCAGTTACGAATTTAACAATGCTATCGAGAAAGTTAATCTCGTTTAATTCTATGTAAATGTTGTTTTATAGTCTTTATAAATTGCGATGTAAAACTGTCAGTTCTCTTTCAATTAAGATAAAATTAGGATTGTCTTTATAGTTGATTGACATCTTGTTTATGTTTTCTATAAGGATTTTGAAAACATCATCAACTTCTTTTAAGTTTATAACATGCAAAATTCTTGTATAATGATTATTCTTGTTGTTCTTCCAACCTTAGTAGGGTAAAACCATGTTCTGTATAAATAGTGGTAACTTCTAGGTTTTGTGTTACTTCGCCGTATAGAATTGCCCAAAGTATAATCAATATCGCCGTTATTTTCATGGTTTCTGAAAATAGAATTTATTTGATGATTATATTTTCGTTTTAATTGCGTTTTATGGTATTTTACATTTCTTTTATTACTGGTGTTTGTTACGTTCTTAATTATTTTCTTTAGTGAAATTTTTTAATTTTTTACATTTTGGGGCATTTTTGGCTATCTGTTTATTTTAACTATGTTGTTTGTCAGTTGGAATTGCTGTCCTCTTCCTCTTGCATTGAATCCTCTTTTGCATTGAATTTTTCTAGCCCAGTTAATTTTTCATTTTCATATTTAGCTTTTAAATTTTGAATGTCAGTTTTATCAAAATTTTTTATTATAAAGTTTATTGGTCTCAGTTTTGTTGTTGAGTGTATCGTATTGTTATAATAGGTGATTATTTTGTAAAGACGATAATCTAGATTATCTTTACTACGTTCGGCATTCATGATCCTTAGATGATAAGTTAAGGGTACCATGAAGCTGCTCGATATCGATATATTTTATTTCTTTTACGATACCAAATGTGAACTATATAATTGAAACTATGTGGTGTTTCCGAAATTTCAAAAGGTATTTTAGGTGGGTTTCTATCATGTTTCGCTATGGTTTTTACTTAAGTGTTCAGATGAAATAATATTTAAAAGTTTTTCTTTGTCAGTGATGTCAATTAATTTAATTGAAGACTTCAAAAGTTTTAAATTTTTATTAGATGAAAAATATTTAACATATAAATCTTGAAAGTCAATAAAAAGTGAATTATCTTCACAATATACGCACATTAGGCCTTTGTCTAAAAGTACTTTTCTCATTAGTTCTAGTAAATTTTCTTAATTAATAATTTTCATTGAAAAATTTTGGTTTTTTCCTCTGCTTAGAAATATTTGATTTTTAAATAAATTGATAGGCTTCTAGGATATATAAATGTAATCTATTGGGTCTTCATTCGTGCTATGGATTGTAGCACCAGTTGACATTAGAAGAGTTTTCATAAGAGGTGAAAAATTGATTTAACTCAAGAGAGCAGTCATTTGCTTGAAGATCATTCGATGAAACTTCAGCGTTTTTATTCTGACTTTTGTTATATATAAAATTTTCTATTGGCGAAAGATAGTCTGCTATTTGAATTTCTTTTCCCTTGAGATTTTCGATGTTAAAATCAAATTTATTTAATTTGATTTTCTACTTCTGGAGTTTACTATTTGGCTCTTTTAAGTTATTCAGCCATACTAAGGGACGATGATCTGTCTTTATAGTAAATCTTCCATCGTAAATGTACGATCTAAATTGTTTAGTCGAAGAAGCTCTTTTTCGATGGTTGCGTATCATGCTTGTTTAGAGTTCTAGATATAAATTAAAGTTCTGTGGGGTCCACCTGGGTTCTGTCTTTTACTTTCACTTCTTTTATAATTTTTTTAGGAAAAATTACTTTATTTTATATAATAAAAAAAAACAATCTTTTAATTTAATTTTACAACGAATAAATTTTATTGGTTCTCACTTCTAATTATCAAATAATAATGAATAGATTTTTATAAAATGTTAATTTTTATTTACGATCGCTCTACTTGCAATATCAGCAAAATTGCTATAGCTGCAACGTGACCGTTCAACGAATTTTTATGTGAACTAAATTTTAAGGTAGTTCACACCGAAAATTGCTGTGTTGACGATTTCCCAATTTTTGAATTAAAATTTTTGGGTGAAAGGTTATAGGTTAACGTCTGAAATAATGTGCAACGTTAACTTATATACGATATTGGATGATTATTTTGAGAAATAACCGCGCCAATTGCTACATTTGATGCATCCGTTGCTATGACAAAAGTTTTTTCAAAGTCAGGATGGACTAAAATTGGGTAACTTATCAAGAGATTTTTTAACATATTAAAGGTATTTATATATTCATTATCTTTTTAGTTAATTTTTGCGCCTTTTTTCAAATATTTTGTTAAAGGATACGCAATTTTTGCATAATCCCTGAAAAACTACTGATAATATCCTGTAATACCCAAGAAGCTCTTAATTTCTTTACGTGTTTTAGGTAAACTGATATTTGAGATAGATTCGACTTTCGCCGGATTAGGTTTTATACCTTCGTTAGTTATAACACGAACAAGAAACTCTGTTTGTTTACATAAGAAAGCACATTTGTTTATTTGAATCTTTAAGTTTACTTCAGTTAACTTTCTTAAAATTTTTGGGACGGAATCTATGTGTTCTTGCAGTGATGTTGAATAAATTAAGATGTCATCCATATATACAATACAAATTTTATTAATAAATTCTTTCAAAACGTCGTTCATTAAACGCTGGAAGGTCGAGGGCGCGTTTCTTAGCCCAAATGGCATTCTTATAAATTCGTAATGCCCAGTTGATGTGGAAAAAGCAGCTTCGGGTTTGCTCTACCTCGATTTGGTGAAATCCTGTAGCCAAATCCAAAGTAGTGAAATAATTAGCTTTTCCAAGTTTCTCAAACACATCTTCAATGTTTGGAATGGGGTAGCGGTCTTCAACAGTTATTTCATTCAATTTTCGATAGTCAATGACAATACGTCGTTTTTGTGTGCCACTGTTATCAGCCTTTTTGGGAACTATCCAAATAGGGGCATTGCAAGGTGAATTAGAATCTTGTATTATTTTATTTTTAAGCATAAAAGATTTTCTTATTATTTAAAATTAATTTATGTAAAAGCCTAATTTCTTCATCATTCAAATGCGAACTTTGAATGTGATCCAATAAGTTATATTGCCTAATCTCACTTGGAAACAGTTCGGTTATATTTTCGTTAAAACAATTTTTTTTGTAATTTGCTTCGTTTTGGTTTAAATAAAATGGAATATACTCCCCGCTTGGTTCAGAAATATTGTTTCTAAAAGTTTCGAGAGCAATCCTTTTATTACTCTCGACCTTGTCTGTGCTCAAGTTATCATTGTGCAAGTAATAATTATTAAATTACATAAATATTTGTTTATTGAATTAAAATATTCCTCTATTCTAGCTTTGATTCTACAATAGCGGATCCTATCTATAAGTTGGTCAGACGAAAGTATTTCTCCATGATTTGATATTAGAATTTTTTTATATCCCTCGAGTCCGTTAGGTTTCTTTGTTTTCTTAGTGAAGCTCTGTCCAATTATTTTATCTCTTACATAATTCAGGAGAATTTCTTTATCTAGAGCATTCAGTGGCTCCATAATTTCTATTAATTTGTCAGCCCTGTTAATAAATTCTGGGAGATAGTTTTGATCATTTCCATCGAAAGGAACGATTTTGTTTATAAAGTTTAAAAT